GGGGGGGGACGCCCCTGGGCAGCGCCTGGCACGTCGGGTGGTTCTGTTGCCTGAGGAGTCAAGGTGAAGCTCTTAGACCACGGGTTTGGGTCTGCGGAGCAGAGCTCCAGCCCTCGCGGCGTCTCCACGGCCTCGCTCCAGGGGAGCGCTGCTGAATGACCTCCTGGCGTGTGACCGCCTCCAGGGACGGTGACTCCCGCACTGCCCTGGGCGGCCTGGTCCGGTGCCTGAGCACCTTCTGGGGAAGGAATGTTTTGCAATATCCAATCGATACCTCTCCTCCCACCGCTGTTTCCTCCCAGTCTGCTGGAAGTTTGCACCTTGTGCTTCAGACGCAGAGCTCTACTGATTCCTCTGGAAGTCATTGTGTCCCCTCCTTGCCATGAGCTGCCTTCTCTGGTCTGTCTTTCCCTCTTCTGACCCTAGCTTTGCCATTGGAAGGAGCCTGCTGCGCTCTCTGGGTGTTGTGCTGGCTCATGGTGCAGTGTGTTCAGACGCTTCAGCAATGTTGGTACACATGTCTTCTTGCTCCCTGTCAAAGCGTCCTTCCTTCCTCGTTTCTTACCAGCGGGCACCTGCAGAAGGGAGCAGCTCCCTCCAGGATGGGGAGTTTTTTGCCGGAACCTATTGGTGATTGTTCTTTGGGGGATGGCAACAGCCGCTCCTTCTGGCAGCACACACAGATGCACCGACCTGTATTTCTGCTTGGCCAGAGATTTTAGATACCTGAGGGCTGCTCTGCGTGGAGGATGTGTCTCCCTCCTTCAGCATCGGCTGTAAACGCATTCCTGGAGTACATGGGGGTGATGGAGCTTGTGGTCCTCAAAGCCACCTCCCTGGTGCTCATGGCCTGAAATCTGTTCATTCTCTTCCAGGGGACAGAGAGGAGAATACTCCCTTTTAATAAGTAAGTATTTTAATAATGTCTTGGGAAGAGATCAAAGGGTGTTTAAATTCACTTCCCTTGGAGCAGTTTTAGTGCTGTAGCAAGAGGCCTCAGACATAAAACCTCTGGCAGTGAGGAGCTAAACCCTCATCATTTCCAGATGTACATCAACATCTTCAACCCCAACCCCTGAACATGTTTTATTTACAGTGCCAGTTGCACTGGAGGTTACCCCGGCCTCGTGCGAGACGGGCACAGGCTCAGAACCCGCCGCTTCCCATCAATTTGCTGCCGTGAATTTGTTTTTCCATGCTCGGGAGCGCTTGTGATGGGTGACTCAACCCACCCGGAATCACGTCCATGGAAGGGGAAGCACCCGCCACCCGGCATCGGCACGGGCCACTGCCCCGCTGCCAGCAGGCAGGTCAGGGCGGCCGAGCGAGGCCAATGCTATTATTTGTAGGGGAAGTTCAAAGGAAGCATTAAATTCACACTTTTCCTTTCATCTCCAGCTGCACCGCGCTGCTCTCCCGGCTTGGCTGCAGCAGGAGGGCTCCAGAGAGGCTGGTTTGGCACCAGCTTGGGTTGGCATCAGCCAAAAGCCCCACAGGACCGTCACTGTCAGGGTGTCTCTCATGCCAGCTCTGCCGCAGCAGCATCTGCCTGCTCCAATAGCCCAGTCCCTACCTTGGGAAGCCTCCAGCTCCTTGCTGGGAGCAAGGGCAGGAATAGGGATGTGGAAGCTCTCCCGCTCGCGGGAATGTTTCATGCTCGGTGCTGTGGCTATTGCTCAGTAGCTGCGGTGTGACCCTCGGGGTGGGAACGGTGCAGGCTGTCCCTGAGCTCAGCACCTCCTGCTGGTCCTGAAAACCAGCCGTGGTCCAAGTGTTCCTGCTCTGCTGCCCACAGGGCTTGAACTTGCCGCAGGGGCAGCAGGTAGAGCACAGGAGCTGCCAGCAAGATGCTTTGTGCTGAAACCAGTAAATAAATAACCCCCTCTTGTGCTTCCTGCTGTTCTTTCACTTGTGTGAGCACCTGGGCTGCTGCACTAGGGCAAGGAGCTGCGCCCAGAGATCTCCTCCCTCCTTGGAACCGAAACTCCCTCCTCCATGTCCTGTGAGGGTGCTTACATCGGCTGTAGCTCAGACCGGTAAGAAGGCTGATGCTTCCCTTGGGATGAGGATCAAAACTCAGGAAACAAGCTGGCTTTTGGGTTGGAATGAGGAGTTTGGGGGGAAACTCACCTATGGGTGAGTGAGCTCCTGGGTCAGGCCCAGTGTCCCAGGAAGGAGCTCTCTGGCCATGGGCACCTCCTGATCCCTGCCCTGCAGGTACAAGCAAGCTGGAGAGGGGCAGCTCTGCTCTGGAGCCAGGCTGAGAGAGCTGGGCTGGGGCAGCTGGAGAAGAGAAGGCTCCTCAAGGGGACACCTTAGAGCAGCTCCAGGGCCTAAAGGGGCTGCAGGAAACCTGGACAGGGGCTTTGGACGAGGGATGGAGGGACAGGACAAGGGCAATGGCTTGAACCTGCCCGAGGGGAGACTGAGATGAGCTC